AAGATGTATTAAATTGTATTTTAACCCTTTAACGGTCATAAGGAGTGGACAGAGGAAAAATAAAATTGATAATGGTTAAGGGTATATAATAGAAGTAAAAACATATGTACATATAAAAATATATATAATGGTGGGAAATATATCCCCTCTACCGGTCAGTTTCTTTACTCAATTGTATGCTCTTATCACGCGCCCGACCTATGCTATTACTGTAATTATATACAATAATTTATTTTTGGTAGTATTTAAAAAAAAATAATTTTGCAAACATCAAGTTCTTTATTTGAAATACCAGTAATACCGTATAATACCAGTACCAAATTTTGCAAAAATCAAGTTTTTTATATTTATTACAAAAATAGTGGTACAAAAAAGTATTTTTTACTTATAATAAAAATCTAATTTTATTTTTTATGAAAATCACTGAAACAAGGTGCTATGCTCAGTGTGAATTTCGGTGATAAAAAATTTCGGAGATAAAAAAATAAAAATCACGGTGGTGAAAATATCGTCTCTAACTTATAAAGTGTTAACCTGTCATACTAGTTACAATCCAATTAATTATTAAACACATTTTCACGGCAAATAAACTGCGAAATGATAAATAAGACGAAAATGAATGGGTATTTGCCTACGAAAGATATCACTTGTCAGAAATATATTAAATAATTAAGCAATTTGTTGTGCAGATGATAGTTATTATAAATAACCGTGAATTTCTAAGACCAAAATTCCATTTTAAAACGTATTCTTATCTCTGTTTTCTCAAAGATATTGACAGGGATGATATGTTTTATACAGAGACTAGCAGTCACCCGGTATCCGTCCGCGTGAAATTTATAAAAAAACATAATGGGTAGCCTATGTGTTCTTCCAGACAATTTTCTATATTTGTGCCAAAGTTCACCGAGATCCATTGAGACGTTTTGGACGTACCTTCAAACAAACATCCATCCATCCATCCACCCATCTAAACATTCGCATTTATAATATTAGTAAGAAGTAAGATTAGTAAGATTTAGAAACTGGCCGTTATAACGATTTTCCTAATTCATTTTGTTGTCAATAACAAGATCTAAATAAATAACTTACCATAAACGAAATTACCGACATAAATGAAATAAGCATCCAATACATAGCAAGCACATAAAATAAATTTATACGTTGTGTAAACAAATACTAAAAGATACGACTTTAGCCTTCGTAGCTGCGGATTGGTATTAAAGTTCCATCTCCTCTCACAGCCTCATAATACAATGCCAAGTATAGTTATACTTTAAATCTCACCAAATGATAGATTTAAAACGTGTTACTGTGGTTAGATTTTATGTTTCGAACTAAATTACATACCAGTTACATACTTTTAACTTGCCAGTCAAACTGTAAAGTCAAATCTGTAAAGTAACTGTTAAGTTAATTAAACTGTACTTAGGGGCTTAGCTTAATTGGATGGATTTATTTGTTAGAAGCTATGTCTAACACGGCTGCATCTTGTTGAAATTTGTTATAGATGTGAAAGATAGTATGAAAGAACACATAGTCTAATTTTTTTTAATTTAAATTATACGCGTATGGAGTCGCGGGCGACAGCTAGTGATATCAATAATTTTTCAATTAGATCATAGTAGCAATACAAATTTATGGTATCGTAAATACGCCGTAAATTGTTTCGTAAATTATTCAAAGGGGTTAAAGACTTACCCTCATTGCTTACGATATTAAACAAAACTTTAGGCTAAATCAATTCATATCATGGTGTTGTAAAGCGAACAAACTTTAGTTTAGTTGAAGGACTATAGTTCATTACTAATATTTTAAAAAGTAAAGTTTAAATTGCGTCATTTAAAGGAAAGCTGTGCTACGTATTATTACTGCGCTGCGCCTGTGGATATTTTATATCAATAATCCTAATATTCTTTATTAGTTTTTTAAAGGCGCTAAAAAGTTAAATGGACTTTAGTTAGGCAAACTTAGGTAAACATTAGAAATAAAGTATAGAAAGGAGATTTGAAAAGAACAACCGTACATTTTCGAAATAATGAGGAAAAATGTAATACTATCCACTGTAACCTCCATCTCTCTATCGTCTATTTGTAGTTATTTAGAATGAATAAAAATACATTAGCGAAATGTACCCTTGATAGTAATCACGGAATAAATACGACTTAGGTAAAGTTAAAGTTTGTTAACTCTACTTGACAGCAAACATGAGTTTGTAGTGTAACTCATGCTTAAAGTTAACTCAAGCCGCGACGTCTTGGAACTTCTTAAGTAGTTTCACTTTGTTTCATGATTGAAACGCGCTGTAGGTAGCAAAGATACGAGATTCCTGTATTTCAAAACATTTCGATAACGGAATTAAGACAAGTTTTACAATATACTATCGCTTTGGTATCGCACAGGCTGTGGATAATTCAGTCCACAGTCATCAGTCATTTTAATTAATATACAGTTTGTTTATTAATATTGTCACTTTTACTCTATTACTAACCTTGAGTTTCTAGTGTCGGAAAGCTTTTATTGAAAACTAGCGGTCGTACGCGACTACATCCGCGCGGAGTAGTTCTCCCAGGTTATGTTCTACAAAAAAAATTGCCATTGCTAAATTGCCAAATTTCATAAAAATCCGTTGTGCCGTTCCGGAGACATCTTTCAACAAACATCCATCTATCTAAACATTCGCATTTATAATATTAGTAAGAAGTAAGATTGCTTGCCATCTCTGTTTTTTTTTCAAAGAAAAGGGAGGGATAACAATGTTTAAGTATATTGACACTGAAAGTCACTAATAAACATTTCTTTCATATTTCCCTAGCTCTATTAGTTGTTTTATGCAATGCATTCATGCGTGCTTCTAATATGTTGCTTTGTATAGACCCAATCTATTTCCTTCTATGAACAATAATTGTTGACGACCTATTCAATCTTTTAAATTGAAATGAACTTGACAATTCATTACGTGCCTTCACTAAAAGGAAATAAAAGGAACTTCTACTATTATGTACATCTATGTTGAAGTACTGTGTTTATTTTCAAATGTTTTATGTCGTTATAGTTTAAGTATTTATAAACCTTAAATTTACTTTTAAATATTAATACCAAATACGTTTGATATCGAAAGTTGCAAGTGGATAACGTGGCTTGGCTTAGATGTAGAACATAGTACAGAACACATAGGTTACTACTAAAGTTTTTTTAAATTACGCACAGACGTAGTCGCGGGCGACAGCTAGTTTTTTTAAATAATATTAATGCCAAATGCGTAACATACGCATACGCATACGCATATCGAAATGTTGCAAGTGGATATTATAATTGTTAAATATAATTTTAATTCAAGCGAATACTTATATTTTATGGTGACTTAAATCTAGAGTCTAGAGAAACAACTCGTTTATCACATTATTACTTACTAGTTGTCGCCCGCGACTCCGTCCGTTAGGAATTTAAAAAAAAACTTAATAAGTAGCCTATGTGTTCTAGACTATGTTCTACATCTATGCCATATTTCAGTGAGATCCATTCAGCCTTTCTGTAGGTGCCTGCAAATAAACGTCCATCCAACCATCTATACATACATCATACGCATTTATAGTATTAGTGAGATTATTATTCAGGTTATTACCTAAAATACCTCTACAACAATTAAAAATAAATAAAAATTAACATACAAATAGAAAATCTGGAATAAAAGCGGCCAATGAGTGGCTACTAGAAAACATTTTGTGATGATTTGATTTGAATATATCGATTCGTAGAAAATCCGTAGTCTATACTGTAAAGACATACAATTGATGTCTCATCATTGCTAGTTTCCAGAATAGAGTATTGTGAGATATATTCATACGTTTTCCTTATCCAATGTCCCGCGGTCAATAAATCAAAATACACCTTAATTATGATTTAATACTCTACATTCATACGAAGGAAAACATCGTGATGCAACCTGCACATATCTGAGAAGAAATTCAAAGATATGTTAAGTCAACCCGCACTGGACCAGGTGGTTGACTATGGCCCAGTCACCCCTAACTTAGGGTAGGCTCCGCGCCATTCAGTGTGCACGTATAGTAGGCTGATGGTGACTCTACATTCTACTTTAATTAAAATTAAGAAAAGAGTTTGAATTAAAAGAGTAAAGAAGATAAAGTAGTAGGAAACATATCTATTTAGAAGTATTGTCGACGCGTAACTTTCTAAATATATCCTTTTTGGAATTGTGATGTTCTACAGAGGGTCTTTTCATATATCTATCAACCGTCAGATTTCAATTCACTCTCTTCTTACGCATATCCTCTTCCACAAAATCCAACTATACTTTTTTCCTGTCTTCCTCAACCTGTGTAGCGTTCCACATTCAATCTTACTTACTCAATCTATTTATTATTTAAGAATCATTAATTTATTCACCTAAACATCTTTTCTTCGCATAAAGTGTCTTCAGGAATTTATATCTCTGCTTACCCAACTCTGTGTTCAACTGGAATCTTTGTACCAAGCCAGGATTAGAGTAGTAGACATATTTTATACAAATTATAGTTATACGAGTATTTCTTATTTGAATTGCAATCAAGAAAATAAAGCAGAACTTACTTTGAAAAACGGACGACTGCAATAAGAGATCGTTGCGACGTGACACACTAAAACAATTTATAATTTGGCAACCTGTTAATACTCCTCGTAATGTTATTGACGGATATTTCCTCCTTTAAAACAAACAATATTTTTGTACTTCAATTTACCTTATGAGTTTCACCCAAAAACAAACTTCGTTTAACTATTTTGTTTAATTAAAATCTTAATTAAAACATAGAGCCAAGAAAGTAGAAAGCAGTATTAAGAAGTGTAATTTATTCTGGAGGCTGTTAGGTAACACGAGGCGGTCTCTCTCAGCCAGGGCCACGAACTAGGGTCATAACCTTTATCTCCATACTTTAGTCCTTCAACAAAGTAATTCAAACATCAATCAATATAACATTATTTATAAAGATAATACTTACATTACTCAAATTCAAATCAAATAGTCTTCATACAACAACTAATTTTATAATTATTTCTCTCTAATTTATAACTTAACACTGATATAAACACATTTACATAGCACTTATATTAACGAGATCTTTAACAACACTCCTCTGTATTATCGCTCGAACAGTGGTTACTTAATCACTCCATTTATAGCAGAGTAAAGTGCGGAGTTGTAAGAATTCGGGTCGACAGCCTTCAGGCGACTGAAGGCTCGAGCGAGCTGAAGCCTACGGGAAAATATCAAGCCTCGACCGGGAATACGTATGAAAATACACTGCCGTAGCAACAATGCAACTACGTCTGACTCACTCTCGCATATGACGCATCCCATGAGTAAGACAAGGCTTGACCATACAGAGTAATCACGTCATAGTTTGCGATTATTTTCGAAGCGATCCGAAGTTTAACGGTGTATGACGACAACCGACGAAAGCTTCGCTTTAAGGGTAAATCTTTTTGTGCATTTTTTATTGCATAAAGTGTATATCTTCAATATAATTTATTTTTGTTGTGCTCCGCCCACCCTGTTGAATAACATTGAATGGGCAAATTGCCCTCTTGGCGGTATTTGTAAGTAAAATGATCTATTTTTTTCCGTCTCGCAAAAGATTTATAAAAACTACTAGCGATCGCCTGCGACTTCGTCCGTGTGGATTAAAAAAATAAAACTTAATTGTGTTCTACATATGCTATACATTTATACTGAATTTCACGGTAAACCGTTCAGTCACTCTGGAGATACCTTCTATGAAACATGCATCCATCTATCCATACATCGTAACTCAAAACAACAAGTTCAGAAGATTATATTTATTCACAATTTTTATCGGCAAAAGTTATCAAAATATATTATTTTATTTTTAATATAATATTACGAATTGCTCCTTTTTATAAGATAAATAACTGTTGGGTTCTATAAAATCTATTTCGATGACGCAAGGGTCGTACCCTGCATTGTCTTTTGTGTGGGTGTCAATATCTGAGTATCCGTAAATAAATTTAAATTTTTCCGTTCTTTCGTAATTCCGAAACTCCATTTCCTTTTTCTTCTTTTCTAAATGGAAACATATTCTTTAGTAACAAAACACTTGGTGTAAAGACAAGAAAATATATTATTAGAAATCTGGCTTAAGTTTGTTAAATTTTGTTTGATGTTTATATACATAGAAGAAAACAAATCTTTCCTCCTTATAATAATACTGGCTGTCGCCCGCGCGGTATAAAAAAAAATAGTAACCTATGTGTCCTTCCAAAAAATGCTCTATGTCTATGCCTTTAAGCAAGATTCAAACAGCCGTTCAAGAGATACCATCAAACAAAAATCCATCCAAACATTCGTAATAATATTAGTAAGATTATTTGTACTTAAATATACAAACAAAATTAGGAGGGCAGGTTGTTTAAAACGAAGGAAAACTTCGTTGAGGCGCTTGCCAGTTCAAACGGCTTATCAGATGTCATTGACAAAGTTAACAGCAAAATTTAATTAAAACTTATGCATTAGTCCTGGTGATATTCCTATTGTTTTCTTAATCCTTTACATAAAATACAAGGCTAAGGAGAAGGGCACATGATGGCGCAGTACAGCTTTTTAATATAAAATTCTAACTCTTTACTTGTTTTTGCCTTTGATTATTCTTGAAATATATTTGTATGTCCGTTTAATTGCGACTTATTGTTTAAATTACCAAATCGCTTTTGAAGAGTGATGTTTTGATATATAATTTTCTTCACAATGGGTTAGTCAGTTGAACTTTTTAAATGACATTAAAACTCAAGGTCACAGATAATTGTTTAGTGTTAAAATTGCTCCCTACATAGAAAAAAATATTAATATTAGGGATAGTTTAGCTTAATAAACATCTATCAAAAGAAACAATTTGAAAATATCAAAAAGTTTATTGGAAAAATGTAACTGTAAAAAAACAAGAATATCTGGTCCCGTGAAAAAAGCTATCATGGTTAGTTCTGGCTGATAACATGTAAGACACACATAGAAAATATAAAAAAAAAACATATGACAGCTATACTACGAATAAAGACTTTTGACGTTGACAGGAGGGCGCTGGTGTGCTATCATAATTTAATTTGATTTATGCCCACCAGGTCCAATATCCTTATTAGGTTATACAGTGTTCTTATCTTACGTTAGTTTTTTTAAGGCTCTCAAGTTTTTAATCTATATTGACAATGATATAGCTTCTCTTCATTAACTATATTAAAAGTAGCCGACATATTTGTAAAATGTATATTAATATTGTTTAGTTAAAATGAAAGTGATGCATTGCATTGATTTAAAAATGGACGGAATAATAATAAATGTTTTAGGTCAATACAACTTAAGGCACAAACTACTTGTATATTATATACTACAGAACTTTTTACATAATGGTATGTCACAGTATGCTTCCGTTTTACAAACTTTACAATATAAAAGCTTGAGATTCTTGACAAATTATAAAATAATATATGAAATACATATTAATAACTCAAAAACGGTAAAAATAAAATAAGTATAAATATTCCCTTAATCAATTTATGTTATTTATTTATAAAGAATTGATATCTGCATAAATTAAGATTTTCTGGCTTAGACAGTAAACTAAAACTCAAAATGTCAAATTTGTAGTCAATATGAATTTCAAATAATGTTAATCCTAAATATGTTACCACTACAATATTGGTTTCATGGAGACCTATCACTGGCTTTAAAATATTTAGTAAATCTTTTGTTTTTTAAAGCAGTCATTTTGTATACATCCAATAAGGTTTAATATCATAAACAAAATATATAATGATTGTATCATATTAACATCCCACTAACATAAAAAACCACAGACAACAGACTGGACATAGCAATAAGTGATGTTTTCATATTAGTAGCACTATTACACTCATCTGCCGAGCAATAACATTCCTCCCAATATACACCATTAGGGTAAACACCCCAGTTACAGACCCCTGTCACACCCGTTTCAGCAACAGATGCACAACGTCTTATAACTTGACGCCATCTACCATCCCCTGAAAAACAATAATAAAACAATCTTAGTAATATTATAAATGCGAAAGTTTACTAGAAAGTATCTCCAGAATGGCTCAATGGATTCCGCTAAAATATGGCATAGTCTGGGAGAACACATAGGCTAGTAATTAAGTTTTTTTTAATTCCCTGCTGACAGCCTGGGCAATGGCTATTTAGGAATTAAAATAAAGAGACAGTTTAAATAGTTTGGAAATTCTTAAGTATGACATATTAGGATTTTAACATATAGGTTTTTATGCATTCTTGTAATGGATTTGACCTAATTACTTGAACTTTCTAGCTTATGTGCGATTTAAATTGCAATTACTTTTCCACTCAAAACTAAATATGAAATTTTAATAAAGTTAATAATTTAAAATAAATCAAGCTTAGCTTAGTATATACTCTCAAAAAAAGATTGCATTGTTTCACAAAAACTTAATTTGTCCAATTTGCACTATCATGTAAATTAGAAGCTAACATGACTAACATTACAAATTTTCAAAAAGTCAAGTTCAGGATGTATGTTTAAAATTCGCATTTCCCAGCTACAAAAGACCTTTTTTAATGTTTGCTAGTCACATGTAAGTGATATAGTAGTACTTACAAATAAATCCTTTTGGTCCTTGTTGGGTGAGTTTCATACAAAAAGATCCTGGCATGTGGGATTCGTCGCTGTTACATTCAACCGCTATGTGGCTATCAACATCAAATTTTTTGTATGCACCACAAGTATCTTCTACTTTATTTTGTGATGAAGCACATTGGTAACATCTTACACAGAACGCTGAAAATAAATCAAGTATGAAATATATGTCAGAAAATTAAAGATAAGTAAAGGTTAATAATGCAAACCTGTTCTTATTAAACTAATTAACATCAAGAAATATAAGTATGACATTATGAAGAATTAACTGTTTGTATAGTTTGAATCCGAGAAACACGAAAACATCAACAATAAAATGACAGTTATTTACTTCGGAAACACTTGGAAACACGCCCAAAATGATGTTACCACTCATCATCCAAAAATCTTTGGAGATTTAAAAATTTAAAATTAATTTGTTTTATTTGAATATTTTAGATTCATCTATCCAATTTTGCATAGTTTAAAGAAAATTTTGATTTTTCTGGGCATTTCACAATTCTGGTACCTAGTTAGGGTTTAACGAATAATTTTTTTTTCTACTCTATGACCGAAAGAGATAATAAACGTCAATCAGAAACAGAAACCAACGGAAAGAAACGTTACTGTTTTGATATTGTTTTGTTTAAGTTTTTGTTTTCTTTAACTGTGTTTGAATTAGATTATAATTTTCGCTTTAGAATATAAAACGCTTACAATTTCGTGAAAATGTTACTTATATCAAAATGGTCAATAACTTTAATCGTGATTTTCTGCGTGAACAATGGTAGTGATATTGTTTACTAGCCCTTGAGTCACGCCCAAAAACTCGTTTTTAACTTAAATTAAAACTTTCTAGGTTACTGTATAAAATGTTGGAATTGTCGATCAAGTAATGATCCAAAATGCGCAGATCCATTTGATAACAGCACTGTTCCAATAACAGATTGTAAGGAAGAGAAAGGACTTGCCCATTTACCGGGCGTGAAATCTACCATGTGCCGAAAAATTCGACAAAAAGGTTAACAGTCAACTATATATTTGGCTTCCTCTATAAAAATTATCTCATATTAAATACGTTAATAAAATAGTGCACCACTGGCTGTAAAATATTTTTTTCTTCTTTACTTTCAGTGAACGGTGAATGGCGCTATTTCAGAGACTGTGCATATTTGGGTGATGTTGGAATCATGGGTGATGAAAGATTTTGTCTGATGAGAACTGGAACATATAATATCTTTATAGAATACTGCACCTGTAATAGTAAGGATGGTTGTAACTCATCATCACTGTTTGGCCCTGTTCCTCTCTTAATATTCACTTTGGCAAGTTTGTTAAGATTAACAATAAGTATTTCTTGATTTGCACAAGCACAATTTTATAGTTCAGAATAAATTTGAATCTCATTTACAAACTTGACATACAAAAGTAACCGTTGGAAGAAGGAAAACCTTTTGGCAGCGAAACATTTCATTTTAATAAATTTCAGGGTAATCCCAGTGAATATAGTGATAAAATACTACAGGCCGCAAAGAAAATAAATCCTTTTATAAAAGAAAATTATGGAATGTCAATTAAAAAATTATAATGACATTTCCAATACATATCATTCTTAGCACAAAAGCTTTCTTCCTCTGAATTAAAAAAGTATGTTTTTAATTTACCAAATGAAATACTTTACTGTTTATTTAGAAAATAATGCAGTGTATTTCTATGATGACAAGTTACATAACTTAATATGATCATTGTTTAAAATTTTTTAGTCACAAAAATAAATAGCAACTTATTAAATACATAACTAAGTTATAGGTTAAGGATTTTTTTTAAATAAATCGTAGCTTAACTCATTTCTTCTACAAATATATTTTACTAGGTTTAACTATCAGTTGAAGTATACTGAGTTTCTTTTTTATAATTAAAGGCATGAATATTAATTGTCTTAACCATAACAAATCAATTTACAATGGCTAAGAATCAAAATTTAGAATAGCTGTAAACATAACAATATTGTTGTATAAAAATGACTGCAAATTTGTAGAATAAGACTGAAAAAACCGTCCAATAAAACATTTATTTTGAAATTATTGCATTTTGTTATAAAATGAATCAGTTGTAATGAAATAAAAATTATTTAAATTTGTTTTATCTTTTTTTCTTCATTCATTTATAATGTATCTGGAATTTAAAAAAATGATTTTGGAGAATAATATGAGCGTTGCCAGGGTAAGAGCAGTAGATGCCTGCTCTAGAATGAAAAACTAAATGTTATATAAATACAGACTTCAAATAAGATTATATTAATGATAGCTGTCGCCTCTAGACCTAGCCTTGATCATTGACTGGCGCTGCTCATGTCTCTTAAAAAAAAGTTTTGTTGATGGCAGCACTGGGCATTAAAAAAAAATTTCAATGATTTCGTTTGTGCATTATTTAATATGAAACTATAAATACGTTATACACACAAATTCAACTCTCGATTGTCTGTTGCTTTATTTTTATTTTGACCTTTAAACATCAAGCGATAACAGAATCAAGCATTTTCAATAGCTTTGTTTATATGTCACTTGTTTAATTTAATTAATCAAGTCAGAAGTGGGTTCAGTTAAATACAACATTTTGTTATACAATATTTAATCAGCTAAAGGGAATTGGGTATTTAGTTTACTCGTAAGTAGTTTTTCTGTTGATGAACTTACAGAATGGTAAAATATTTCGAGTCAATTCGTATTAATTACAACGAAGGTTTCTTAAAACTTTGAATGTTTGTACACTTCTCAGTACCTTGGAAAACGACAACGTAGTCGTAATCGAATCGTGAGTTGCGGATCGTGATCCGTAGATTTGACCTTGAATTTTCCAGATCTTGTTTAAATATTCTATATTTACAATGTACTTCAATTAAATTATCTTGCCTCAATCTTTATTCCGCGAAGCCTTAATAACGCGGAACATAATCATTAAAGGATTGAAAGGGGTATTTATTAAAAAAAAACAATACAGAATTTTATTATTTTATCTCATTACAGCAGACTTAATCGTGATCGGATGTTCCTTTACTTCATACGTATAATAAAACAAAAATTATTAGTGACTTAATTTATTCAAATCCACAATTTAAAAATTAACTTTGTACTTAAAACAATGCACCAATTTAGCGTAAGATATTAAATGAAAAAATATTAATACTACATCCATATTATTTACTACGCTTACATATAAACACGTTTAACGCCATAGTACAAATAGAAGAATCACTAAAAAACTTTTTGCTTGAAATAGATGCGTTATGTCGAATCTTCAAAATATATCTAGTTTGGCGTTCAATCAGTAGCTGGGTTCCGCAAATATTATAAAAAAACTTCATGAGGTCACTGGCGGCGCTTAAATGCAAGCAGGGATCCGGTCACCGGTAGCCAGAGTGGCGTTTAACGTGTTAAGAAAGTGACAACATATTTTAAAAGATACATTATATACTACGGTGGTTACCAGAAACATGATTATGAAAAAAGCAACGTATTTACAAGTAATTAACATAGCACATTATAAACTAAACAAAAATCCTTAACCAAGAGTAAGACGGATGTATATTATGCATATAAGAGTTAATACAATTTGTGCCGTAATTAGTATTGGAAACTTTTTTTCGCGATCAACGTAAATGTTTATCAAAACCGTCTTTGTTTTAGTTATAAATGTTATCTATATATTTTACGTATTGATAAAAATAACAGAATTTGTCTCTCTTAATATTTCTTGGTATTACCAAAATCTGCATATATGTATTCAGCAATTTGGTAGTAAATAGAAAACTATAGAAGTGCAAAGATTAAACTGTCAAAAATAGTTAAACAAAAATGTTACCATACATTAATTAAAAACAGCTTATATAAATCTATGAGTTTAGAATAGAAATATCTGCTTAGCGACCTAAATAACAATCTTAAGTGAAATATTTTAAAATATTTAGATATAATGATTTGCAATACATTAAAATAGAAAAAAAATATATAAAAATGTAACATGTAACAACAGATTATGTCAAAAGCATTAGCTTTGGGTTGCCAGTTTTAAAGCACTTGTACATATAAGTGTATTTGAAAAGCAGAGTTACAATATGTTTTAGTAAAAATGTTTCAAGTCGATTTTATGGTGATAAGGCGGTTTCTCTTTTCGCTTTATGTTTACTATTTCCTTAGGCCTTGAACGGTGGGTGCATCGTAATGGTATATGGTCCCATATTAACACTGTAATTTTACTGTTACTTAAAGAGCAATAGACCGAGTGGTGCGAGAACTAAAGCGATAGTCTTAGAGATAGCAGCAGCTCCATTACAACCATCGTAGTCACAAGTCTCGCAGAAAGAGGTCACCTCGTTGGCTGACGTCGATGTACTGGGACAGGTGTTCGTGTAATCGTCCTTACGTTTCCATGTGCAGCCACGCGATATGACCAAAGCACCGTGCACTGAAACACGAAAGAAGATTATCAAAATATGAAATAAATTTGGATCATACTGTACTCATACTGTCGAGAGTTTTACGATTTGCTTTAGATATTAATTTGCGTAGATTTAGTTAGTAACTTAAGTCATTTATTACGTTATGGTCTAATGATAAGAATTTAATATCATGTTTTTCAGAAGAAATACTAGTTATTTTTATTTAGTATATGACGAATAAACTTATAAACTACGAGGCCGATTTCTATTAAATTCTTTTGCTATTAAAAACATAAGTCATCGTTATATGTTCTTCAAGTAAATAAAGTTGCAATTGCTCCCAATATTACTACGACAGTAATTAAAATATTTTAAAGCAGTTTACACCTTGCTCGGAATGACAGGCTTTCACTTTTGCGATAGCGAAAGCTATCGAATCTGTGTCTAAAGGGTCAAGGGCTTAAATGACTGCCTTAGTAGAGATTTAGTTTGAGAAATCTAAATAAAAGATTATTAACCATAGATATATTTGCCAGGTTTGAACTGGAACAAACTGGATCAAATGAAAATGCGTAGGTTTGTACATTATAAAGTTAAACGGAGTAACTGATATATTCTCATTTAACATTGTTATATGATATTTTATATAGTTAATTCGTTGACTCAAAGTTGAACTAATGTTTGTTCATATCATGTGACCACAGGTAATAAATATTTTTAGGTTAGGCTAAGTTGTCTTTAGAGAATTAATATGAACTTCCGTTATCAAATGTAGGAAATGAAACCTAATTAATTTTAAGTAATCAAATTATCGTTTAACGTCCACCCTATTTTTATTTTTAATTATATGAATTTAAAAAACGTGAATTATCCGATAACTACTGCAAGGTTCTTTGCAGCCATGACTCGTAAATAATGGGTAAATTGTATGAAGACAATTAATTTTAAACATAGTGACGTTAAGACGTAGTTTCTATTAGCCGTGTCTGTGTGATTAGTCGCCTCGTAATTACCTAAGTGGTTAACAATTTACAGGTTAAAATAATCCACTGGAACGTGGGTTAATCTGTTTAATTTGTTCAAAGAAAAAATACTTCGTGTCTATGTATCATCACTACATTGTAGTTTTCCGTCGTAGCTTTTCTTAACGTTCCTCGACAAGTTTGCATAGATTTTCGGACTTGTACATTTACTACATTGATTTTTTTTGGTTTGTAACAATTAATTTGTATTACCAACATACCCGATATTGGTTTATTAATCCGTACTTACTGGAAATATAAGTATAACTTAGCTATATTCTGTTGAATCGAAAAATTTCCAAACTTTAAGGAACCAAAAAAAAAACTCACCGAATTTCTTCTGCTTCTTGCAAGCGGAGATTGAAGATGTGAGGTAGGGGTAGGACACGGCGGAGGTCGCGTCGCAGTTTTCAAGGCGGAAGAGATACGAGTTCTCTGACTGGCTCACCAGGAAGGGGTCATTGCAGAGCGGGTTCAGGTCTGAAGAACATGTCCAACACCGGACTGCATCAGCTGTGAAACAAAACAATAACGTTGTGTTTAATGTTAGGCAAAGAGTAAACATGCCTGTAAAATTGAGTACGAACTGCCATGTGCTTGTCACTGCTATAATGCGAAAACATTTGTTTCCTTGCGTGCCTGTTACTTTCAAGACATACATATGAAAACATCCGTAGTTCGGTTTCGTAGCCTTCCTCGTCCTATCCCTCCACTTTCATGTTTGTTATTGTCATAATATCAAATCTGCCATCTACTTGTTGACACATGCCTGTAGTTAGTTACCGCCACGTGCGAGTAGTTTGCATGCGAGTTACTTCAAGTGATTTATAGATGTCGCGATAAAAAAATAGTCGATTTGTTCTTCCAGACTATGTTCTACATCTGTGTCAAATTTCAGCGAGATTCGTTTTGCCGTTCTGGAGATACCTTATAACAAACATCCATCTATACATACAAATTTTCGCATTTATAACATTAGTTAGATTGACAGAAGTTTACGTGACAATGTATGACCGTTCGTTTGTGACATATCGCCTAGACGATTTGAAGATTTAGGTAAGTGAGTTGTCATTCAAATCGTATACTTCTTTGCAGTATCATGAAAATACTCACTCTTTTGGTTATTTTATGTTTGTTGCGATTATTATGAGATTTAAATAGTACAGAAATGTTTAAAATGTGTTTAAGTACAATACAGTGAACAGTGTCTGAGAATTAATATACACACTTTTTCCCAGCGTTGAAAATGAATATAATTTAGTTAATTAAATTTATATATGTTACGGAGTTAAATAGTTCGTATTTATTAATGTAATAAATTTAAAATAAGTAATTAAATGACTAATTATAATAATTAAACTACCAAAATAATACTATAAACTATATACTAAAACTAAGCCAAACTAAAAATAAAACTAAATAATATAAAAATCGACCCCAAATCGCTGCGGTCGCACGGTAGTTTTCCCAAGAGGCTGGCGGCATTTCCCCGTTGGATGGCCAGGCTCAACCTTTGGCCGAAATGCGCGCCAGCCCTTGGATCCCCTGAGGCGTCGATGAGGCGTGCGGAAATCTCCTTAAACAAGGAGATTTCCGTGATTGCTGCGTGTTACGGAGTTTGAAATTTAAATTGATTATAAATAAACGTCTACGAGGACAGAAAATGCTTACAGTCATCTGGCAAATATGATTACAATTCAATGTACTTATATGTTACATGCAATCAATGTAGTAGGTTAATACATAACCGAGTACTCAAATGAAAACACATTTATTGCGCAACATCGTTACGACATCTCTTCACAAGTTCTAACGCTTCGCATCAACAACGATGTACCCAAACAACCTTCAAACCTTTCAAACAGTACGAAAGTTGATTTATGTTGAAATAAAACCCATAAAGATTTATTTACGCATAAGACAAGACGAGCTATAATAGTTGCTTGTGCATCCATCTTAAAGTTTATAATTGAATAGCAAACAGAACATTGTCATAGATTTAAAGGGATATGTAGATGTTATGTCATCTACATTACTTAACTTTGTGTTGAAATAGTATCAAGACATAGTTTCCATCAAACAGCAGTACAGTTTTAAAATATCTATCTACTAAACTCTATAGTTTACATAATCCATAGTAACAAGGATATCTAAAACGATGAGAAAAGCGCTGCTAAAATAGGTAAAACATACATGGACATAGAAAATGACATAAAAGGAAAAACATGACATGACAGGAAAAGGATCGTGTGACAGTTTTAGGACGTTGACAGGGGGGCGCTAGTGAGCTGTCATTATTTGGTTTGGTTTATGCCCACCGATTTATATACCCTTGTTTTACAAAGTACACTATACAATACACAAGTTTTATCTCATCTCCTGATATTGGATACAAGTAAAACTAAGACCTTTTTCAATTCTATGCGTTTCGTAACAGAATATTAATACGACAAGTTGCAAGTTTTTGCATCCATGACTGAGCTGAGCACTCTACCGAAAAATTGTCATAACCTTCTATTTCTATCCCTGCTGTAAAAAAGAAAGAGTAAAAAGAAGATTTATGAATTAATATCACATTAAAACGTTTTTATTAAAATAAATGTAAATAAAATATTTATTATTCTCACGGAAAGATAAACGTAAAAATCAAGGTTTTTTGGTATAAATATTCAAGGCTCTTTGCTACGGGAACCAGTGGTTCGTTCCTAGTACAGACACGGTACGGTGGTCAACCACAATGGAATATGACTGCAAAGTTTTTGTGCATATTTCTGTTCTGCACATTTCAATCGATTCAATGTTTACGATTGTGGTTTTTACGATTGTTTAACGTCCATGGCCTTTTTTGTAAGATATGCACGAGTTGACATACAGTAAAAAGTATCAATGTATGTTAAAATGTTTTCAATACCCAGGAACTAACTGTGACAAGTAAATACGGTCATATAGAATGTTTCAATCAGATTACATAAATAAGGAAATTAAATGCAAAATAACATAATTTTTTTATTTACCATTTTTAAATGAAAACCTTAACTTACTTTCCTTAAGTAGGGAAATATTCATATATTTACTTTAAATCGAAAATTAGTTGCTATCTGTTACAAAAATATTTATTTGGATTGCGAGCATGTGCAGTTATCATATAATGGACTCATTATTCACCTATCAAAATTGATGTTTATTTATAAATAGCTTAAAAGCTTAGATAAGATAAGATATCACGTTTTTTTTACCATTATCATTAAAATTATATTATCTATAATAATAATGTAGTACCCTGTGATTCTAATAAATGCTGTTTACTAGCTTACACACGCGACTTCGTCCGCGCAGGATTAAAAAATAGATAGTAGCCGATACTCAGACCTACTGAATATGCATATAAAATTTAATAAAAATCGGTCAATTCGGAGAAGTATGGGTTTTTTTTATAATATAAGGTGACAAACGAACGAACGGCCACCTGAAATCGCTGAAACAGTGAAGGGACCGCTGCCTATAGACATCCCCAATTGCTGATGCGTTGCCTACCTATAATCGACGGAGAAGGGGATACACAGAAAGAGAATATTTTCCCTTCCCATGCATCCCCTCATCCAAAAATCCAGTTCCACTTTCTATCATTTCCTTATAAGAAAAAGGGTAAGAAGTGAAAGAGGATTAGGCATCCTGGTAACATTTTACTTTTAACAATTAAGTAACACTGTGACACGAGAATTTTATATGCATATATAAGATACATAAGAACAGCCAAAATAATAATATTCGATGGCGCCAAATTGTCGACTCTCTTACCCTTAATGTCGCTTCATAAAAGATATTATATTGCCAGATATTATATTTATTACGAGCTTGCAATATACATTATGCGAGAGCATCGAGGGATTAGGGGTTAAGCACTTGATTTGTAAACTGCAGGTCCTGGGTTCGTATCCCGCTTCGTACCAATGTGTTTTTCAATTTACACGATTTACATATATACATTTATGATGTTATGACGGCTAAGGAAAACGTCGTAATACAACCTGTATATCTGCGAAGGAATTCAAAGATATGTACATGTATATGTAGTCAACCAAAACGCACTGGACCAGCGTGGTTGACTAAAGCCTAGTCACCCCTAACTCAGGTTATGCTCCCAGCCCCGTAGTGGGGACATGTAGTGAGCTGATGGTGATGAATATAAATTGTTGTTTTGTTGAGTTGTTTGTAATATATTCTATAGAAGTTTTTATTGTTGTTATGCAAAAGATCTAATAGGTTATGTATGTAGACGTTTTGACGTAAACGAAAATAGTATTATAATTTGTCCCAACGAATAAAACTTGCAAATCAAGAATTGGATTAAGGTTTTTTAATTTCTTAATACAATCTTAAGACTTCTTATCCAATAAAGAAATAGGCCTAAAGGAACTTACTAAGTGTTGTTTAATCAGCTTTAAGCTATCGTGTTACGGAGTCGTTAATTATGGATAGGGGATACCCACTATATATCACCATAATGGCATAGTAATACTATTTTTATGACCACACCTATAAATTCGTTGATTATAACTAATGCGAAAACTGTTACAGCTTAGGCGTGGCCAGTACCGTATTTCTAAGACCAAAACCCCTGTTTAAAATATATTGCTATCTCTGTTTTAACAAAGAAAACGAAAGGGATCACAATATTTGTATTGTACAGAGATTTTAGTCTCAGATATCAACGGTTAATGTTTTGATTATCTTACATATACAATAAAAAAGCTTCTACATTAGTTTTGGATGAAATACTTTAGTTAACATACCTAATAATTTTTAATATTGCCAGTTAAGTAGAAGTTTTTTATGACTATAAAAAACTGACTAGTTTTTGTTATATGTTTAATCATTTTTGATATGTGACATATTTATCTTTTTTTAATTCTGTATCATCAGAAAAATGTAGTCAGAATTTTAAAAAGGCACTGAAAACTATGATTATAATAATAAAGGATGGCATACTAAAACTAATTAGTTTGGCCATGGTTTCCAAGGCAAACGTCCGTAAGCATCACCGTGTTTATTTTGAATAGGCCTCAACCAAAAACCATGTTGTGTACACCATTATTTTCAAGGACGTGTGAGAATGGATTAATTTATAGGTTGTATTAAGATAAAATAAATAAATTCCGCTCATATACCACATGTTTTTGATAAAATGATTACTCTATTATTATCAACTTACAATTTAAATTGCAGAAAAAACTTGAAGAAATGCTCAATGAATTTACGAAGATAACATTGGGATGGATATGCTAATTAAATAGTATAAATCTTTTCTAAGAATTAGTTTTACACTAGCAACACATCTGTACAAATATATTCACTATCTCCATGTTCTCAAAGAGAATAAAAAGGGATAGCAATAGTTCTTGAGAAGGTTAGAATGTATGGATGAAATCGCATATATGTGGGTGGAAATGGTTAGTCGTAGCACGACATATATTGTTCGATGTTTTCCTTTCGTATTCTCGACACGTTAAATC